TTCTGTAGAGATTTGTATTATCCTACCTGCATTATTTTCCAAACTTGATTTTTGGATAATTCTCAAGTTCCCTTGTGTTTTGATTTTAGGGCAGTGATGGCGAACCTTTTAGGCACCGAGTGCACAAACTGCGAGCACTTGCAAGCCCAAATTGAAAGATGCGCATGTAAATGTGTGCATACGTAGACATGTGCGAATGTGCTCATACACAGACATGCATGAACATGCACATGTGTGGACATGCATGAATGTTTGCATGCGTGGATGCGCAGCAGTGACCCGAAGGCCAGCTGGCTTGTGGGAGGCAGGGAATCCCAACACCAGCAGTGCAGCAAGAGGTAAGATCTTTTTCTTTTGTGAGCTTCTGTTTTTAGGGAAATAGAAGCTCACAAAAGAAATGCCAAAGATCTCAGCTGGGGTGACATCGCATGTGCCAGCAGAAAGGGCTCTGCGTGCCATCTCTGGCAGGTGTGCCATAGGTTCGCCATCGCAGTTATAAGGAATCATTATTTCTAATCTCAGGAAAACTTTATATACATACTATTACAGTTGCTGTCTCTATAGTATGGCACAGCAAGAAGAGGAAATGACACTAATGATCCCCTTGTGCTTTTAATCAAATCATGGAGTGAAAAAATATAAATTTATAATGACAATTGTTGAAGGAAAACTCTCCCACATTCTAATCAATTGCACTCTGTGTTTTACAGTGCAGTTGAAAAAAAAATAGAAAATTTTTAAAACTTCTCTTACAAGGAAGATATATAGTCTTCAACTTACAGCCATTTGTTTAGTGACTGTTCAAGGAACAAAGGCACTGAAAAAAATGACTTAAGGCCATTTTTCACAGTTAACAATCATTGCAGCACCCAAGTAGTCACATGATCAAAATTCAGACGCTTGGCAACTGGCATGTATTTATGACTATTGTGGTGTCCCTGGACCATGTGACCATCTTTTGCAACTTTCTGACAAGCAAAGTCAAATTCACTTAACCATGTTACTAATTTATCAACTGCAGTGATTCGCTTAATAACTGTGGCAAGAAAAATGGGGCAAAACTCATTTAACCACTGTATTGCTTAGCAATAGGAATTTTGGGCTCAATTGTAGTCGTATGTTGAGGACTACCTGTATAACACTTTTCCCTCTAAAAAAATCCCCATAGAGGAAACACATGTTCATCTTTCAACTAACTTCTCTGTTAAGATTCATGATACATGCTGCTTCGTATGTATACACACATAACAAAATATATCCAAGTATATTCCAGTACACCTGTTTGTAACAGATGTACCCACCCTCCCCCAAAATACAATGTTTGTTTCAGAAAAGCTCAGACTTTAGAGTCTGTCTCTCCATATACAGCTGTGTCTTGTATTGTTTCTTTTGGCATTACAACTTGGCTCAAGAATCAATTTTGTTGTCAAAAAAAAAAGGAGAAGCAAAGCCAAAATTTTGAAATGTCCAGTGCCAATATCCTCAATGTCCCAGGGAGGCAATTGTTGCTTTCCCCAAATTGTCACTCATTTGAAGTGCTGTAGAGCTCAAAAGGAAATAGTTCCTGGGTACGTTCTTCAATAATATTCTTTTATATCAAATACTTTAAAATAATGTTGGTAGTTGGACTGACATTGTGAATCCTTTATGATAGGACAGGAGAAGAGTGTATGGAGAACAAAGGACCAAGTCACCATGGGCTGGTTTGTCAGCATTCTTTCTAGAAAAATGTCTTTGTCTTTTTCTGTCTCGTGATACCTTTTCTCCCTTGCTCCCTTGTTTGCTCTCCTAACTGTCATAGCAACTCTCCTAAATATTTATCTGTGACAGATACTGGCTGCAAGAGACATTCTTTCTTCTGTATTTTATAAAACACTGTCACAGAAGTGGAGGGGTGGGGTTTGCTTTGTCATCCATGTACTTTCCGCTGCTTACAAGTCATCATAGGAGGGTGTTAAACAATTTACCTCACAATTTTGGCTTTTTTCTGGTGGGCTGCCACAATTGATTGGTTTGCATAGAACTCAGAGATTGTTTCACACACTTTCCCCCTCTCTTTTCCCTTTTTCCCCCCTCATAGATTTTCAGAAACGTATTTTGCTTTTCAAGGGGAAATTCTTTTCTTTTTTTCTTTTACAAGTTGAAGGCTGTTCACATTCTGACCGCAGCTGTGCCTTTTGTTACTTGAGTATGACACTTTTCATTGTTCTGCCTACAAATTCAAGTTTACTCATAATCTGAGCAGGAAATGGAACTAACTTGAACTGGTTCTTTTCCCATTCCTCACAATGAACTAATGTTAAATGATACCAGCTTTCTGGCCATCTGACCATGTGCCATTTCTTTTTCATTTCTCATTGTAAAGTTTTGATATATAGGGGACTTGAAGTAAGTAAAATTTTCAAATGGAAAATAAAGTATTTTTTTCTTCCTGCTGGGCAACAGACCTGAAAAAAACTAAATAATGCTCTGAGTACATCAGCAGAGTCTGATGGGAATAGTGAAGAGTGCATGGCAACTGGAAAAGAGCTTCTAAATTGGTTCAGCTGTCCTGCCAATAAAAGCATTTTATTGCCACAAAAATAAAATTCATGAAAAGAATATAGATTTATCTCCTAGTACATATATGAAATTGGAAGTACCTTCTTTTAAAAAGAACTTGGTCTCACAATCTGTACAATAAAAGTCAGCACACACTCCCCATAATTGTTATTAGATTACAGTGTGGGACAAATGGTACAAATGAGAAGCCAGCAAGGAAAAATATTTGGCTTCCCCTCTTCAAAGGTGAATAGCAGATTGTACAGAAAAACCAGAAGCAAGATGCAAGATCACGTGAAGTCTTAATACCACTTTATAATGCCTTGGTAAGGCCACACTTGGAATACTGCATCCCGTTTTGGTTGCCACAATGTAAAGACTCTAGAAAGAGTGCAGAGAAGATCAACAAAGTTGATTAGGGGAATGGAGGCTGAAATGTATAAAGAACGGTTGCAGGAACTGAGTATGTCTAATTTGATGAAAAGGAAGACTAGGGGAGACATGATAGCAGTGTTCCAATATCTCAGGGGCTGCCACAAAGAAGAGAGAGTCAAGCTATTCTCCAAAGCATCTGAGGGGAAGGACAAGACGCAATGGGTGGAAACCAATCAAGGACACAAGCAATCTAGAACTAAGGAGAATTTTCCTGACAATTAGGACAATTAATCAGTGGAACTACTTGTCTCCAGAAGTTGTGAATGCTGCAACACTGGAAGGTTTTAAGATGATGTTGGATAAACATTTGTCTGAAGAGGTGTAGGGTTTCCTGCCTAAGCAGGGGGTTGGAATATGCATACTATTTAAATTTCTAGATAAGATGTTGTGTTGATTCAAGACTTGCCAAAATGAATAATATTATGGTTTCTGCCTGTCTCCAGAAAGAAGCTGACCCATAGCAATTGAACTATACTTTTACACAGCTGCTTCTGCTGCATTTGAAGTAGAAATACTTTAAAGAATGTTCTCCAATGAAACGGAATGTCCATATGCTCAATAGTAATGCCCAGAGCATAATCTTCCTAATTTTTCATTCATCATAAGTGAAGGGTGAAAGAAAAGAAAATAATAAATCAAGAGAAACCCCAATTTGTTTCACTTTATCAGCAAGAACTGATAAATGTAAAAATTTTCCTCCTCAATAATATTTTGCCATGTCAAAACAAAATAAAAGGATGAGGTGAGAGTATTTCTGTATTGTTCTGTATATTGTTATTTTATTATTCTGTAAACTTCAATAACAGTAAGAATTTAAGAAATCAAAATTAAGTACTTCTATTGACATAGAAATTCATCCTAAAATATGATTGACATGGTCATTTATAAACAGTATTTCCAATAGACCTGTCAACCAATTAAAGGCTTTTAGTTGATTAATGGCAATGTCTTTAACTGATCAATCAAATAACTAATTTAAATATACACTATGGTGCAGAGTCTTTAATTACTGAAATCAATGGAAGGTTTCCACTGATATAAACAGAACTGGAGCTATCAACCAGTGAAAGTAACATTTTCACAAAAAAGTTATGTACATCTAATCAATTAGTTATCAACATTCTTATATTTCATCTGAAGATTAAAACTTCATTGTAATTAATTTTGCAGTCAATTAATGGATTGAATAATTCACTTCATACTTTCGTCATTACTCTAATTAAAATGTATGTTAAAAAGTGCACTAATATCCATTCAGATGACCTCACTAATACTTACCAATGAATCCTATGCCCTAAAGTAAGAGCATTGTAGCACTTGAATCAGTTATACAGAAAAGTCATTCGTTCCTTTTAGCAAATGTACTGAAGTGAAAATTGGGGTTTGTCTGGGATGCTTCAATCTGGACTTCTGCCCAAAGTTAGCAGTTGGATTCAATTATCTGAAAGGGCCCTTCCAATCTTCTATGAAATGTTGACTTCCACAGGAAAGTGATCTTTTGTGGTCTCTGCCTATATAATTCAGCTCAATAATATTATTTCTTTACATGTATTCACATATAGAACAGCAGATGAAGACAATCTCCCAACACATATGGAGGTGACAGATGACTATATTCCCCATATCTTAAATAAAATTACTTTCTCACAGTACATGTTCATCCACTATATCTAGAGCACAATAAGAAAAAAAGGAACTCATAGACATGAATGTTATTTGCATATAAAATCTGATTATACTCAAAGGCTATTTTAATTTGATATGGATCATAACAAGTAACAGATGAATTGAACCTAGGATATCTTGGTAAGAACAGTTGCAGTAGCTTCCTAGTAACAAACCAGAAAGTGCATATTGTGTGGTACTATTTTAAAATCAGACTTTATGCTTGCACATGACACAGGAATCTATGCTTCAAATGTAGACAGACAGGATTAGCTGCAGTATTATTTAAGATATTTGACCTTAAAGTGATGAAAGAAAATAGTGCTCATCAGTTCAATCCATTTATTTCAATAACTCACCTTCTGCATCTTCTGGCCTTGTAAGATCAATGACTCCTGGACCTAGCTTTCCATCTTCACTGGGTTTCCCAGATAGCTGTGGGCCTAAATTCTCAAAGCGTGTTCTTTCCTGCCAAAGAAAAAGGACAACATTCAGCTTTTTTAAAGTGTTCACATATGTTTCATTTCCAGTGCTTTCTTGACCTCTGATTATGCATGCACTTGCCAAATTATAAGTGCAGCTTCCAACAATCAATTCAGTTCAACCAAGTGTAGGATATTATTGTGATTATGACAGGATTAAAACTGAAATTTCAGAAATCACTGCCAAGCAACAGTTAATAATTAACCTTTCCTAAATGACTTGCATTTCAGAAATACTAAAGTTCAGGACTTGGAAAGGACTTTCTATTAAAACTTCCGACTAATTTGGTGGAAAAAAAATAACCAGTAGCACAATCAACATCCTAGTCCTAGAGATCTGAATTTGCAGAGGCACCCTTGAGAAATGCAAGCATGAATTTTATGCAAGAGGATTTCAAAGACAAGTATTTCAAAAAAGGAATACTAGATGACAGAAATAGTGCTATTATTTTGCCTAGGAATTTGAGCTAAACCTCCATGGGATATTTTTTTTAAAAAAGGCTATGAAGAAAAAGAGATGACAGTGTTTCTTCCTTGAAAAACATAAAACTTGAGTGCTGAAAATATATATGGTAAAACTGCAGAACTAAAACAATAATCAATATATAGGTTGATATCAACCAGGGTTACTTCATACCAGGGGACAAAAACTCAACAATCATATGGCAACATTATATTTTCTCCCTTTTTGTAACTGACTGCTATATACTACTTTCATGCAAAAACACAGTAGGGTTTTCTTATGCCTTTGGGGTACTTCTCAAACCTGAACATGCCATTATGTTTGCATGTCACATCATCACAGACTTGAATTATCAGTTTTTGGTTTTGTTCACAGGATATATTTGTTAAACCTCACATATTACACAGCAAAACAGTGCTCATTGCTCTTCTCTCTATTGTTTGGTGAGCTAATATTGCATTGGGCATATTAGATATTAGATATTATATACTAGAAAGAAAACAGTTATGTTATCAAGCAACAGCTTGATGTTGCTGTTAAAAAATAATGAACAGACTTAACACTTCCAGAACGTCAGAGTCATTTGCTCAACTCTCTTAATATTGATTCTGTTTATTAATAAATGCTCTGTAATCATTTTGTAGAGCATTGGTAGATTAGTAAATATTTTCAGCAGCAGCAGCAGCATATACAGAATGTGTGTGTGTGTGTGTGTGTGTGTGTGTGTGTGTGTGTGTACTCAAGGCAAGAAACATACCCAATCTTCTTTCCTTCTACTTTTCCCACAACAACAACAACAACAACCACGTTGTGAGGTTTATTGGGTTGAAGGATAGTGACTGGCCCAAAGTCCTCAGTCGACTTTCATGTATAAGGCAAGACTAGAACTCACAGTCTTCTGGTTTCTAGCCTAACCACTACACCAAACTGGTGTACTTCTCTTTTTTTCTTTTTTTTCTTTCTCCCTCCCTCCCTCTCCCTCTCCCCCCCCCCAGGAAAAAAATCCAACTAAATATAAGATTTTTTTTCATCACAACAAGTCACAACAACTGGGTACTACAAGCAAAGAACAGTGTCTTAATTGGTCTCATATGTGAATACAAAGTTGGGTCATTATGTGGTATGAACAAGGTTGCCCTGCAGTTATCCCAGAACTACTATTACTTCTAGTTTAATGTGGACATTTAGTGGAAACCAGTATAATTATAATAAGTGTCACAACCTGGGCTTCCAGCATCTAACAATATGCTGTATCTGTGCCTTAAGATGAACTTCATGAACCATCCTTCTGCTATCCTACACTGGCCAAAACAGCACCTAGTCTGTAAGTATGCAGCCTCAATGGTAGAACAGGGCATGAGGCATCATGCAATGTTGCCCGCAGCTCATCTTGACAAGGGTTCCCTCAATCTGTGCACGTTCCAAGGAAAGCAAATGCTGGTTGTCCCATCTCTCTTTTCCAGCATTCATATCTAATCACAGTCACACCAAGCCTGCCAAAATGTGTGGTCCTTTCACACATGCAGTATCCCATGGCTTCTACTCTCCTCAGCCAAAGCAGAAAGCCTGCATTGTCATGCGCATATTCCATTTCAAAGTACAAATCAGATTATTGACCAGCAAAGCAATGATTAAAACCCAATGGCTGACAAACAGTCCCTTGAAAGTACTACCTCTATTCTCTCTCCACCAGTTCTCCAGAGAGTCTTTCTATTTTTCGGGGGAATACTGCATCCTTTCAGGACCACGGAGGCCTTTTTTATATCTTCCATGAAGAAAGGAAGATAATTATCCCTTATCTGTTTCAAAAGAAAAAAAAGAAAGGCGAATGGGTGATAAATTCCCAATATATTAGGAACAACCTTATTTTCTCTTCCTCTGCCTATTTCTATATTTCTCCAAGAATTCAGACAGGATTTCCTTACTTTAAAATGCTATTTATTTATTTTTTAGAGCAGGGCAATATAATACTAAACACCTTGCCATTATATAAATGCTAGCATTGTCCAGGATGAACTGCATTTGCATTACTTCTAGTTTGACAGACCAGGTGGTTTTATTAGCCTAGAACGGATGAGTCTTTGACAATCTGGGACCAGGAGGTTCTTGAATCAGAAAGCCCAGAACAACTGACACACAACCCTGGCAAATGCTGCTTGATCAAGTGTCCCAACTTACTTTTGTTGCTTATTCCTCAAAGAGTTTGGATCCCCTATGCACCCTCAGTACCATATCAATGGAATTGCATTTTGCCATCCCCTCTATTTATCTATTCTCCTACTTAAATGAGGACCCAGACTGTGGGGGCGATATTCTGACTCTGTAAACCGCTTAGAGAGGGCTGAAAGCCCTATGAAGCGGTATATAAGTCTAACTGC